CATTTGACAAAATTTGACACAAGGTCAATTTTGAAGAACATAATGAGAACTTGCTATCTTTTACATCAGGTAATAGAAAAAGTCCTAAATATTTGATCAAATGAAAAAAAATGTTTTTTTTTATAAAGCTTTCTTGGTTGGGTTGATAACTTTTCAGTACTTCATAGTTACTGTGCTTAGCATAGTCTGGTACAATGAAGAATTCTTATAATTTAAATTTGGCTTTAAATGATCTGCAAAAGGTTGATAACCCGTCAAAAACAAATCAATCCAAAAAGCAATCAAAATACAGGATGGGCTTCAAGGACAATGCGATTTCTTTGAGGTTAACTTTTAAAAATGTTTTTATTGTGACAAACGATTTGCGTCATCGAGTTGTATCTAAAACAATCCACAATAGAATTTAGTAGAATTTAGCCGTCAAAACCATTGGCGTCTATGCTATTCCATTTTGGAGTTGATTGGCTAAAAGTGAGAAAGCAGATTCATCAGAAGAAAAAGAAAATGTACAGAACTCAAAGTGTTGCGTCAATCTTTCAAAACGAAAGGGCTTTTAATTACCCTGAAACTCTGTATCCGAAATCCACATATAAAAGTATATATCGGTTTCTATGACAAATATTTCAAGCGGTAAAAGAAATTGAACTTATTTGGTAAAAAAAATTGAACTTATTTGGTAAAAGATTTTGTCAGGCAAAGTAGATGGTTTATTGCGATTCGTCCGTTTTTTTTTAATGAGATTTTCTTTACTTTTAAGCGGAAAAATGACTAAAGAATTCCCACAATTTTTTAAATAGAAGTTTCTCAAAACTGGCCAGCTTCCTTGTCTAGTTGAGCTAAGCAATTTTCTAAGAGAAAGAAAAAACTTTGTTTATACAAAATTGTCACTTTTTGTATTATTTCTGGGAGACTAATTAAAATCCAACGCGCATATATATATATATATATATATATATATATATATAAGTTTATACTTGTCTGAATATATATATATATATATATATATATATATATATATATATATATATATATATATATATATAAGTACTGGAAAAATTTTGCCTGTTTGTTTTTTTTACATTTATTGTAAAAGAAAACATTTTGACCAAGAGTGACTGAGTAAAGAATATTTACGACTGTGAATTTTGAAGAGACAGGTTTTGTCACAATGTATCGCTCATATAATCAAAATAACCATATCTTACCATAACAGATACGATCTCATTTTGCAGGGCTAATCGTGATATATAGATCTAAATGTGTCAATTGCTCATATGATAATAACGTTAAATTTAGATATCCTATACACACCTGGCTTCTAATTTGAATCGGTTCCACCCCGATGGCATCGACACGGATTATTTCTTATTTCCTAAAATAAACTCTGGAAAAGGATCAGAAAAATCTATGAACAACAAAGAATTAATATCCATTTATAAGCCTTTTTAAATCAATTTGGTTTAGATTGGCAGAAAACAAGAAGTTATAATTTAATCTCTGAGAGGCTTCAAAAGTCTAAATCATTTGCATACAACACTATAGGAAAAAATAGTATTAATCCTTGTTAGCACGGAAAACTATCTCTCCTTGAAAATTGTTAAAGTATTAGCCGAAACCACTGGGGGCAATAAACAATATGGATACTTCTCTATACAATCAGTCCTCGAAAAAAAAAAAACTTGTAACGACGCAAGAAAAGTTTTAAAATAAGATATTCTTTGCCAATAATTTTAAATGGAACATGCATAAAAGAAGGATTGCTCCTAAAATACACAATATATATGTAACAGTATGGACATAAAAACAACAATGCATGATGATTGGAAGCTTCGATGCGTATATATGCACACTTACTCTTCCTTACATTGATCACTTCAATAAGTATATAACAGTTTACACACAGAGACACTGGGATGCAATCTGTCACATGATCTAAGATGGAGTGAATAGATGGGCAAGATGGTATAATGTTGAAACAGCCGAAACTAACAACAAAACTAATTTAACATAATTTATGGCGGACCTCCTCACGGTATCTTTGCAATACACAGAATATATATATATATATATATATATATATATATATATATATATATATATATATATATATATATATGTGTGTGTGTGTGTGTGTGTGTGTGTGTGTGTGTGTGTGTAGAGAATTTTTATTTTGATCATAATCCTTTCATATTTGTGAATATGAAAGGATTATGATCAAAATAAGCAAACAACGTTTGTAATTTATTCAATGACACATGCCTGAAAGAGAATTTGAACCTTTACACACACACACACACACACACACACACACACACACATATATATATATATATATATATATATATATATATATATATATATATATATATATATATATATATATATATATATCTTTTTATTATTATTATTATATTATTATAAGAGATTAGAACAAAAATATGTTCAAATCGCTACACATAGGCTTTCGTGTTTCGGCACTTTGTGCCTCTTCAGGCGTTGG